ACGGGAGCTCAGAGCCTGAGACTCCCTCCCGATTGAAAACAACAACTGTGCCCTCAGCCGCCAGCCCACTCCGCGTGCGCCTGCACACCTTAGTATTTTACTTCCACACTGCGCCTCCTCTGAGTCTCAGTATGCTTTTCTCTTTCCTTCTAGTTGTAGAATTTCCACTCAGCCAGCCTTCCTGTGGTTCTGGATGATGTCCATTCCGTCTTTTAGTTGTATTTTTGAAGTGGTTGTTCGAGGTAGCAAACTCGGGTGTTTACCTATGCCGCCATCTTGGTTTCTCCGATGCATAGTCTATATAATTTTATGTAAATGGAACTATAATACATATAATGTAAACATATAATTTGTTTTTTAAATTTAACAATAATCTCGGTTATCTTTCTGCCTCAGCAAATGTAGCACACAACTTAAATATTTTTATTTGCTGCATGTCATTCTACTGCATGATTTATGTGTGTGTGTGTGTATGTAATTTATTTCACCAATTCACTAATTATGGTTATTTGGATTATTGTTCTTTATTTTGGCTATTATCAAAATGCTTCTGTGAACATCCTGGGAAGGTTTAAATAACATGATACTAAGGTCATACTGCAACATACATACCTAGGATAAAAGACTACATTTAATTTTGGTAAAAAAAAATCTCAAAACAGACATAATAGGACTAAAAATTATTCAGAAAAAGAGAAACTAATCACAGGAACATGGCATGAAAATTAAAACATTTGCATATTCTAATCTGAGATGAGGTAGTATGAATAACGTGTAGGAAATTATGATTGGTATTGATAGAGTAGGCATGACCTTAGCAAGTCTTCAAGAAAAAAACTTTTTAAAAGTAGAAAGAAGAAATCTTTGAATAATTGCTTGAGTTTGCTAATTTTCTTTTTTGATTAAGGCAGGGATCCTCAAACTTTTTAAACAGAGGGGGCCAGTTCACTGTCCCTCAGACCGTTGGAGGGCCGGACTATAGTTTAAAGAAAAACTATGAACAAATTCCTATGCACACTGCACATATCTTATTTTGAAGTAAAAAAACAAAATGGGAACAAATACAATATTTGTATTTGCATGTGGCCCGCAGGCTGTAGTTTGAGGACCCCTGGATTAAGGTATTACTTATGTGTCTTTATCTCCCCCTTGCCCCCCTACCCCTACTCATGCCCTCACCCCCCTGGTGTCTGTGTCCATTGGTTAGGCTTATGTGCATGCATACAAGTCCTTTGGTTGATCTCTCCCCCTTACCCCCTATCTTCCCTCTGAGGTTTGACGGTCTGATTGATGCTTCTCTGTCTCTGGATCTGTTTTTGTTCATTGGTGTATGTTGTTCATTATAGTCCACAAATGAGTGAGAACATGTGATATTTATCTTTGTCTGACTGGCTTATTTCGCGTAGCATAATACTCTCTAGTTCATCCATGCTGTAGCCTGTTTTTGCAATGAGTTTTGTCCCAGTGACATTAAATAATCATTGTTGATTATTGGTTGTTTATTGAATATTATATTTATCTAGGGGCCCAGTGCACAAATTCATACACCTTGAAAGGAACTGTGGGCCATGAGGCTGCTGTGGGCACAGGGGCGGGTCTTGGCCCATCCTCTGCACCCCCACCCAGCCCTTCCCACTGCAGCCCCCAGTCCCCTGTCTGCCGGCAGCCTTGCTCCTGCCACTCCCATGTGCTGATGGCGCTGGCCCCACTCACACCCACTAATGGTGTGGAGTGATTTGGGCCAGCGCCAGCAGCAGGTGCAAGCGCTGGGCGGGACCGCGGTACACAGGAGCAAAGAATTTTCAGTAACCCACCAAAGGCTCGCCCCGATGATAGCGATTGGCGCCCTGCCTTGATCTGGCGCCCCCACTCACCTGTTTTACCATCCTGCTGTGGCTAATGCCCACCATGTTTCGCGCTCTGCCGCCTGCTGCCGATGCCTGTCATGTTCTGTGTGTGCCCCCTGGAGTCAGCGCAAGTCACAGCGACTGGTTCTTCAGTTGTTCCGCCGTTCGGTCTATTTGCATATTAGGGTTTTATATATATAGATAATTATAATCAATACATATAAACTATTAACCAATGAAAATTATTAATTTAATGTTAAAAGAAACCATGATTAAATATATCACTCAATAAATAAATAAAATTAGAAGATTGATTTAGAGCAAAAAAAATTAAATACTCTTACATAGCTGTAATAAAAATATGGATCTTGTTACCTTGAGAAGCTTTGCAATCTGGATATATAAATAATTCAGGAAAGCTTTACATGATATTTATAAAAATATATTTCATCATGGAAGTTAAATCTATAATGAATTATTAAGGAGGGAAGTTAGAGCTATTCATAATATACTGTTAACCTTTTAAAATCAGTATAATAATTACATATTATCTTATTCCATAAAATATCATTAACTACTGCTGTCAAATAACAAAATATCTAGGCTGAATAGAACATAGATCTAGCCTAGTGTGATATCTCTACCTTTTGTATGTGTCTATGCTACCTGTTTCCTGTGAAAAAGCACCCAGGTTTGCCACTAAATTTTAAGGATGAATATTGATAAAAATAACTTTTACTTATATTCTGCTTAACTTAGGCTGTTATTTTTTATTTATTTTTTATTTTTATTTTAAACCAAAATAAGAATATATTTTATTTCATATATGGGTTAGTTAAATGATAATACTTTACATTTAAAAACATTAACACAATAAAAAGTGTATCTCCATAAATGTACTTATTTGGTATTGCCAATAGCTCTGAAGTTAAAAAATATAGTGTACATTTAAATACAGAAGCTAAAAATTAACTTAGGCTTTTAAATATGTACTTTCTTTTATTCTATAAACCAGAGGCCCGGTGCACAAATTGTGCATGGGTAGGGTCTATAGGCCTGGCCAGTGATCAGGGCCTTCCAGCTGCCAGCCGAGACCTTCCTTCCAGCTGCAGGTTGGGGCCTTCCTTCCCTGGCTGCTGGCTACCAGCTGGGACCTTTCTTCCCCAGCTTCCAGCTGCTGGCCAGGGCTTTCCTTTTCCAGCTGCCAGCTGCTGGCCGGGGCCTTCATTCTGCACCACCCCCTGGTGGTCAGTGCATGTCATAGAGAGTGATTGAACTCCCAGTCTCCTGGTTGAACTCCTGAGGGGACACTTTGCGTATTAGCCTTTTAAATATATACTAGAGGCCTGGTGCACAAAATTTGTGCACTGGCGGGGTGGGTGGAGTTTACCCTCAGCCCAGCCTGTACCCTCTCCAATCTGGGACCCTCTCATGATCCGGGACCACTGGCTCCTAACTGCTCAACTGCCTGCCTGCCTGATTGCCCCTAACTGCCCCTCCCACTGGCCTAG